TTTGGTAGCATAAAATAAAAAATAAAATAAATGATGGAATATTTTAGCTATAATGGTTACATTCTCTCTCTCTCTCTCTCTCTTGATGATAAAATTCTACGTTGTGAGCTCATTTTATTTTCCTCAGGCCCGGTTTTGAGCTATGTTTAGGTGAGTTTTTACTTTGATTTAAAAAATCATGAAATCAGTGACAAAAATACTGCATGCTTTGTTATGTGACAAAAATTCAAAATTGTCCTGCCTTCAACTGGTTTGACCTACACCTGGCCCGATTACAAATATGAGGAAGCCATAAGAGGCACAAGTTTACTGATACAAGTTCCAAGCCTTTACCTATTCTTTAAGGCTGCTGGAATTTGTCTTTATCGACGCTACATTTTATTTAGATGATTATATCACCATCCAGAAAAAAATGCAGCTAAATACAATATTTAACAAAAAAAATAAATAGAAAGATCTATTCAAATGGGATAAGACTTTTTGTGTGATTCTCATATTCCTGCGATAATTACTATGCTAGTTAATTAATTTGACAAATGCTTTGTTTCTATCTGATCAAATTAGGTAGTTTGAAGGACATAAAACAAGATTAATTAGTCCTTTAGTAGCGCTAATTTTTCATAATCTTGACAAATTACTTTGTGATTTTTCGATCTGGAGCTTTGTTTTTTGTGAACCTTACTGTCTAGCTCATTTAAGTGTCTAGTTATCAATACAGCAAAGCATGAATGGTTTTCTTAAAGTGGCAAGTCCTTTTAGCTGATTAGGTAAATTACCTAACCTTCAAATGAAATTCTATTGCTAGATTACTATGATTATTCTTGTTTGTACTAAAATTTTAAATTGCGGTCGTAATTTCCTAAGTGATCCATCGAGGCTGAGTGTGGTTGGTGGGCAAGTATAGTTGGGAACCCCTCATCTTGGATTCTAATTCCTTCTACTAAGGCCTCGCCTCTTAAGTGGGGCAAAGTAAATGTGGGCCCGATGCCGGTGGGTGGCCTCGCTAGGTTCCGCCGTGGGATTGATTACGCCGCCAAGTGCTCCCTTTGAAGTGATAGCGGATAGATACCCCCGTTCTCTAAAAAAATTTCCGAATTGATGTCTGAATGTTAATTAAGAAAGGTTGTTTTTGGAAATGAGTGAGAATGATATCTGGCTAGCTGTGGGAGAAATTAGTCCAAGCATGAGGAGGATGGGAAATGATTTCAATTGTTAACGGGTTGTTTGTGAACACTTATTTTCTTTATTGAATTTAAAATATATCTTGCATTTTTTATTGAATATCGAATGAATAATTGGATTAGCTTTAAAATTAATATTATATGGATATATATAAAGAGTTTTTATTGCATAAATCTGAAAATAAATCTAATAATTTTTAACCCACTTGGTACAAATTGTATTAGATTTATATGGGTGCTGTTTAATTGTTATTTAATTAAATTTATTCAAAAATATGAAAAAAAAAAATATTCATTTTCAATTTACTATTCTTTCTCTAATTTTAGTAAAAAAAAAAGAATAAAACTGTATCACATATCATTGCAACTCATATTTTCACCTCTCAATAATTTTAAAAAATCAATTTATAATTAACCATATTATTATTATTATTATTATTGGTAGGGGTGTAAATTTCGGGACACGGGTCGGGTTCGGGTCGAACCCGGAACTGACCCGGGCTCAAACGGGTCGACCCTAACCCGACCTGGGTGGACAAAAGGGTTAGAAATCCGAACCCGGATCCGACCAGGCGGGTTGCCGGTTTGACCCTATTAGAGCACAATATCAAGACCGGTGAAGAATAGGATATAGCTCTCTATATTGCCTTATATGTAACCACCGAAATTTCCTATATATACACCTGCTGTGCTTAGAATAAACATATAATAAAAATCATTTCAAGATTCTCTTTTCTCTGTGCTGTTTCCACGATCCATTCTCTACTCTTGAAGGAGCATTAATTTCTACATGGTATCAGCAGTCTAGGAGAAGATCCAGGAAGAGTAATGGAGTCCTCCATGCTATCTCCGAACAACTCACAGACGGATTCCTCCAATTCAGTCACTCCAGCTATCTCATCTTCTCTCAAATTCGTTCTTGCCAATCTCAAGAACATTGTTCAAACACCTCTCTCAGCCGATAACTACTCTCTTTGGCGCTCCCAAATCCTCAAAATATGTCGAGCAAATGGATTTGATTCATTTCTTGACGTTCAGTCGGCCATTCCCGACCAGGTTTTACCTCAAGCCTCTGGTTCTTGCATTCCCAATCCCGCCTACAAGCAATGGCTCTTAACCGACCAAAATCTTGCCGCCGCAGTTTGCTCCACTATTTCCGCATCTATCCTTCCGTATGTTCTTGATCTAGACTCTACCGCTGCCATCTGGAATGACCTGCAAACTCGCTTCCAATCTACAAACCGGTCGAAGGTTATTCAACTCAAAAATGAGTTACATCACATCTCGCTCAAAAATCTGTCCATGCTACAGTACCTCAACGAAATCAAGAAACTCGTAGATCAGATCGCCGCAGCCGGCTCTCAGCTCGACTCCGAGGATATTATCCTTCATATCTTGAATGGCTTACCACAACAGTATACCTCTTTCAAGACTGCGATCCGGACAATGACGCAACCTTTAAGTCTTGATCAGCTCTATTCCCTCCTCATCAGTGAGGAGATCCACATAGCCTCGGACACGGCACGATTTGATTCTTCAAATCAATCCAACCTTGCCATGTTTACTCACCGTGGCCGCGGCAGAAGGAACAGGGGACGGGCCATCAGTTCAAGAAATCCAAATTCAGACAAATCTGCTTCCATCTCCACGGTATGCCAAATCTGCCTCAAACGAGGTCATGCCGCGCCAGAGTGCTGGCACCGAATGAACTCTCAGTACGTTCCCTCTTCGGCAAGACAATCCTCAACTGCATTAGCGGCTGACTCAAACCAATCCTACACGGACTGGTTTCTTGACTCGGGAGCTTCCTCTCACATGACGCGATCTCTCGACAACCTCTCCATCTCCAACTCATATCAAGGTTCCGACGGCGTTACGATAGGCGACGGGAGTTCGGTCAGTATAGCTCACTCCGGTAAAGGCTTACTACCGACTCCCTCTCGTAAGTTCACGCTGTCTCATATTCTTCATACTCCTGCACTTCATTACAATTTACTCTCTATATCTCAACTCACCAAAGATAACAATCTTGCAATCATATTTGATCCATCTGGCTTTACTTTTAAGGACCTGACGAACAATCAAATCGTTCTTAAAGGACCGTGCAAGAACGGGTTGTATCCGCTCCGCACGCCATATACCTCACCGCAACATCAGGCGCTTCACACCGCTCAGGATACTCCGTGGCACGATCGCTTAGGACACCCTCATCACCGGACTCTCAACTCCATTGCAAGCAGCAATCCGACATTACAAATTCACTCAAAAACCAAAGAATGTCATTCTTGTATAATGAGTAAAAATCATAAACTGAGTTTTGATACTTCTGTAAGCAATACTAGTTTCCCTTTATCCCTTATTCACTCCGACGTATGGGGTCCAGCTCCCGTGTCGTCCCACACAGGTTTTCTTTACTATGTGACATTTATCGACGATTACACTAGATTTACTTGGATTTTTCCGTTATACAATAAATCCGACGTTCTTTCTACTTTTACGCATTTTAAACTTTACATCGAGAATGCTCTGTCAACTAAAATCAAATGTCTTCGTACGGATGGTGGTGGTGAGTATCTAAATAATTCGTTCACCAAATTTCTTCGGGACCATGGCATACAACATCACGTCTCATGCCCATACACACCGGAACAAAACGGCGTGGCCGAACGAAAACATCGGCACATTCTTGAAACGGCTCGCACTCTCATACATAAGGCTTCCATCCCATACAAATATTGGTCTGAGGCTGTCCTAACATCTGTATTTTTGATAAATCGCATGCCTAGCACCGGGCAGCAGCGCGCGGCGTGCGAGGCAGCAGGCAGCGCGGGCGGTGGCAGCGAGCAGCGGGCGGGAAATCCAATTTTTTTTAAAATAAACAGGTTTTCGGGTTGACCCGACAACCCGCAGGGCAACCCGAATCCGACCCGTTTTTTCAAACGGGTCGAATATCCGAACCCGAACCTGACACGTTTGAAAAACGAGTCGGGTCCATCCCGAATTTTTCGGGTCGAATTTTTGTGTCGTGTCAAATATTGACACCCCTATATATGAAGACTACATATTATATTTAATTAAAAATTCAAGCATATGAACTAAAATTAGAAAAATGATGTTGTGTTCATGATCCAACCACCTCATAGAGATCTATTCAATGAGACATAGGCTAAAAATGAACGTTTGGATATTAACCATGGAAGACTTACCTAATTCATATAATAAAAAAATTTCTCTTCATAAAAATAAATATCACAAAACAGGATATTTTAAATAAATTAATCATTAAAAAAAATTCTCTTCATAAAAATAAATATCACAAAACAGGATATTTTAAATAAATTAATCATTAAATACATATTTTGTTATCTCTTAAAAAAAATAAAAGCTTTTTATTAGCCTTCGACCATCCAAAGCTTTTTATTAGCCTTCGACCATCCAAAATTAATTCATTCATATCATATGTATGTTAGCATATTATTTATTTATTCCTTATTTTTTAATAATATTGATCGATGATGTCCAAAGGCAATGTCACATATCAAATATTATATATTTTGGTGTCATAAAATTTCCATATAATATATTTTGTTCAAAGACGGTACATTTTCACATTTTCCAGCCTGCCCAAACAAGCCTCACACAGCTCTCCTTGGCCTGTTGGTTAAGAGCTAAGGCTTTCAACTAAGAGGTCTAGGGTTCGAGTCTATGTGTATGAGTTGTGTGTATGAATTTGACTTAAATGACCTAAATGTCCAAAAAAAAAAAAAAAAAAGCCCAGCCTCGTTTTGCTTTATTTAGGGCTTAAGCGGTTGGAGAAGCTAAGCGGGATTCCCGGCCTGCCGCTCATATAACTAGGCTTATTTCTGTTTTTTACTTTTTTTTTAGCTTATTTCAGTTTTTTGTTTTACCAGTTGAATGTTTTTACACCATTCAAAAATTAAACAATATTTAAATAGAAAACGTTAATATAATTTTTTTTAATTTTCGATAAATTATATTACCTGGCAAGCCTATTTTGATCAAGCTTAACTAATCTAAAAGGAGGTCGGGCCTTAGATCGTCCTTTTCTTCGACCGCGTCTGTCTTCCTCAGAACGATTGAGCGCGCGCAAGAGAAGGAAGCCAGAAAGGAGAAGTCGAAGGATAGAAAAGTTACGTTCTTGATCGCCCTCATCATCTTGATTTCTTTCATTGCATTCTTCTCGTGATCTCTTGGTCCAATCTGTTAAGACGAGCAGCGTATTGCAATGTTCGTGCGAGTGCATTTCTCACCGAACGTTCTGCTTGATACCCGGTACAGTTTTCGTGATAGATTCTTGAACTTGCTCGCTCTCTCCTTTTCTTCGTATCGATCGCTTTTGTTTTTAGGGTTTTGGATTTTGTCGAGTGATTTTTGGGTTCTGGGATGCGCAGATTGAGATTGAGATGAATAACGACGAGATGGACATGAACTTCCCTCTTCCTCTGTTTGAGCCACCCCATGTCTTCTTCTGGTCCAATGAAGGTATGAGTTATTTAATTGTTCTCCTTTCGGATTTCTCTCTTTTCCGATTGTTTGCTGAGAAGAGGCGAATGGTGCAGGCAATGTGAACCGAAGGAAGAGGGGAAGAGAGGAGCAGCCGTATGCGGCGGTGGCGGCGCCACCGCAGCAAGATCAGCAGCTTTACGTTTCCTTGCAGTTGCCGCCGATGTTGGAACCCTTTCCGCTCCAATCGGAGACGCCCTCTCCGATTGTCTCCACGGGCCTTCACCTCGCCTTAGCCGACCAAGGGAACAATAAGATCAAGAGAGGACAGCCCGATTCAGTCATACCGGCTTACTTCTCGGAAGAGCTTGCCGCCCAGATTAACACGGAGAAAAACGAAATCGATCAGTACCTCATTGCTCAGGTAATTTTGACCTCCTTTTTTTCCCCGTTACTAGAAGAAATACATGGATTCCTGATTCTATTCGCCTAATTCTCTTGCTAACCAGGGGGAGCAGCTGCGGCGACAAGTGGCGGACAGGCATCGACGGAACTATCGCACTTTACTCGAATCTGTGGGAAATAAGCTACAGGAAAAGGATGCGGAGATCGAGAGAGCTAGCCGCTGCATTTCGGAGCTCGAAGACCGGCTCACACGCCTCGAAACTGAGTTGATGGAATGGAAGAGGAGAGCCATGACGGAACAGGTCGCAGCAGCGTCTCTCCACGCTCAGCTCCAGAGAGCCACTGTCGAGGCGGCGGCCGCGGAAGCGCGGGCGGCGGCGGTTGCTAATGAGAACTTCGGCGAGTCGCCGGCGGAGGATGCGGAGTCGGCCAACGTTGACCACAACGGGATTGAGATATTTGATAATTCTTGCCGCGCCTGTTTTGCCCAGCCGGCTACGGTCGTTCTACTTCCCTGCTGTCATCTCTGCATCTGTGCTTCTTGCGATTTCGTCAGCACCATCGGCGACGCCTGCCCCGGCTGCGGCTGCTTGCGGACCGGAAGCGTTCACGTTTCCCTTGCCTAATATCAAAAATAAAATCTAAAAAAAATTAAAAAAAGAAAAAAAAGAAAGAAATGAAGCAATTTTATTTTTTTAATTCTGGGTTTTTCTAACTTCAGAAAATGAAAAAATATATATATATATATATATATATTCTTAAGTAGTCTCTGGTTCTCTAAAATGTGTAATCTTGAATTGCTTAATGTTGGGTTGATATGGAAATTTTTTTTTGTTTTCTCAGTTAATCATCTGTTATACTTCAGTTGGCTTAGAGATGCAGGACGTACCTCTAACAATTGGTGGGTTTTTTTTTTTTTTTTTTTTTTAATGGCTCCTGAGTTAAGTTTAATGAGATAATGAGTTAAGATTAAGCCATTCTTAACTTGACTCATTAGCTTGCAATCTAGCTTTTTTTTAAAAAAAATTAATATAAAATATAATTATATATTAATATTTAAGAGTTTATGTAAAAAATTATTTAAACTTTATTTCTCTTTTTATTATATTAATGATTTCTTTTTATTATTGTTTCACTTTTCTACTAGATTAAATTGAGTTAATTTTGTTGCAACTCGAGCTTATGAGTTTATATTTGTGATGATAATAAATATTGTGACTCACATTTTGTTGTCCATCTGTATTTGCAATATGTTTTTGTTTGTGTGTATACTAATTTTTCAGGATTACGATGCACCATTCAAGGCTTAAGATTTGGTAGAATATGTTTTATTTATAATATTCATTGATGTACTTTTTTATTTCTTGAGTCATGTCTTGTAAGGGAGTATGCTTGTTTGGTGGTCATCCACACACACACTTAGATGAGTAAGAACTAGTCAAAACTAGAAGTTCAAGTTTTGAACTAATCGTACTAGACGATTTTGTGAAGCCATTATTTTAAGCTCATCGTCCTGGACGATTTTTGCCGCTAAGATTAATTTTAGGATTTTTTAAAGCCATATATTTAAGCTTTGTCAAGGCACTTGATAAGTGTCTTGGCAGTCATTGAGGCTTCGTTTCTTTTAGAGAAAATTTGAAGAGAGAACTTGAAAGGAAAGGGTGGAGTTTGAGAGAAGGAACAGATCGTTGGAGGGGGCTTCACGGTAATGTGGAGGGGATTTTATACGGTCGCTCAGGCGCTCAGGCAAGCTCGCACCTTAGTATCATCGGATTCAAGGTTCGTCTTGAGGGAAGTTTTGGGCAGAAGAATATCTCTTTGGTGTCAAAGGACGCGGCTACTCCGCTGCACCGAGAAAGGCGTAAGTGATTTTGTAAGGGCTTCTTTGCCTAAATGGGGGGGATAAACGAGAGTCACTAAATATTTAGTGCAACGCTCGGATGGTGCCTCCAAGGAGTGGACATATGTCAAGTTGGCCAAACCATTATAAATCTTATGTATTTTTTCTTTATTATTTTCGCACTTTATTTTTATTACGATTAACTGTTTGGGTGAATTCTCTGATTAATCTTTTTATTATTGATTTATTTTATTTCTGCTGCAAGATATAAAAAGATATTTTGTTTTTGTTAAAGAAGTTTTTTTAAATATACAATTCAATCCCCCCCCCCCCCTTCTTGATTAACCTCATGACTAGTTCATAAGGGTTTAACATCCCTAATGAACTTTCAAGTGGTATCGGAGCAGGATTCATAAAATTAAGTTTGAAAACTTTTTGAATTTCGATCAATTACTAATTTTTGCAATCGTAATATTGCGGAAGGTTATTCAATCATCAGATCACCTTTATTTGAAAATATTACTTTTGATTTTCGAAAAATTCGCATGTCTACTTTCTTGGAATCAATAGATTATTGAATGTGGCATATGATTCTAACTGGTTATTCTGTATCGTCACATGTTTTAGATGAAATTAAAATTGATATTCCTTTTAATCAATGGAATAGGGAAGAACAAATCAATGTTCAATTGAATGTTAAATCTTTAAACTTTTTTTTATATGTGTTAAATTCAGAAGATTGTATGTTAGTATCCATGTGCACTACTTGCGAAGAAATTTGGAATAAATTACATATTATATACGAAATTTCTAACCCGTTTGCAACAACTAATTGGATTCGGGTCGTGCCAAACAGTAGTGGGTCAATATTAGGTTCTACCTGAACTCGACTTGCAACCCAATTTTGACACCCCTAATTTCATAATTTTGTCATCCTTATTGATGATAATTCTCATATCACATGAATTTGTTTGCTCAAATAAAGATGAAAGGACTGTCTATAGTAAAATCTTTTCAAGTCAATGAACAAAAATTCACACACATATTATATCCACAAGATTCGAACGTAAGATCTCTTAATTAGTAGTTAAAATTCTCAATCAATAAATTAAGATGAATTATATATTAAATGCAATCATACAAATCTTATCCCCTCAAGAAATATCCATATGATTCTACCCCCTTCACAATTATCTATATATAAATATCATTTTCTTATTCACAATTATCTATATAAAAACAGTTGGTACAGGACTACCAATGAAAAATCTAGTGGGCATAACTTTACTCGATGCTCCTCTATAAGGCCCATGCTGCCCTCATTTCTAATTTTTTTAAAGTAAATATTGTGGGCTACAATGGAAGGGGGGGGCTTCAACAACAATGATTTTATGTGACCAAATTATCTAAGGAGTCTCTTTCTAATTTCATCTGTCATTGGATTTACTCAAATCTTTTCACATATATACTCGCTTAACATTCAATCTGTAAGGCTAGATGCATTATTCTGTGTCGATATCGGACACCGTTCGGAGGCCAATCAGAACGCGCCACATCACTTTTTGCTCGGTATCGGTGCTGGATAACGCTAGGTACCAGATGACGTGGCACGTTCTGATTGGCCTCCGGATCGTCCAGTGTCCTTAAAGAATAATTTACATCACTATTAAAAAAAAATTAGTAAAATATCACAAAATGCTTTTGCTTTCAATCCAACTTCGGTAGGACGCTTACAAGATCTTAAAGAAAGAAAGAAAAGATGAAACATTTCCCACTACCTTACCCTAAATGGATGCAAAGTAAACAGTAGAAAAGAAAAAGCTGGAAAGGATGACTAATGAAATGAAATAAATGTCCCACCTTCACACTGCCCATAAGATGTTGAGTAGTTGAGTCTGTGCTAAGAAAGTATTTGAAAGTGAGATTTTCCTAACTTTTCACTAATTTAAAGTTGGAAATTCGTGCAAATTACCCTAAATTTGTTTTTTTATCTTTTCTTTTTGAATTAGTATTAAGTTGAAGATTCTAATAACAGTGTTACCTGAGCAAATGTAGGTGTAGAGAGTATTGAATATGCTGTTAGGTTTCATAATCTGTCCTTTGGAAGGATAAATTATTACGTGCGAAATCCAGAGTCACATCTTTGTACACAATGTGTGTATTAATACACACATTGTGTGCAAAGTTGTACACATCGTGTGTATTGACGATGTGGCCGCCTTTCATTGCAGTCCGGATAGAAGCCACGTCCAGACTCCACACGTAATAATTTCTCTTTTGAAATAATAATTAGGGGTGTCAATTTCGGGTCACGGGTCGGGTTCGGGTCGAACCCGAAACTGACCCGGGTTCAAACGGCTCGACCCTAACCTGACCCGGTTAGGTAAACGGGTCGGAAATGCCAACCCGGACCCGACCCGGCGGGTTGCCGGGTTGATCCGACACGACCCGGGTTGACCCGGCAACCCGTCGGGTCAACCCGAACCCGACCCGTTTTTCAAACGGGTCGATTTCTGGAACCCGAACCCGACCCGTTTTGAAATCGGGTCGGGTCCAACCCGAATTTTTCGGGTCAGGTTCTCGTGTCGTGTCAAATATTGACACGCCTAATAATAATACACACACTCCGTGTGTATTATTATTATTTGATTATATAAAAATTTTGCCCATCCTATAAAAAGAGATTGTTTCTGCACCATATCACCATGCATATAAATATCAATCAGATAACTTATAATGTTTATTGTCCATCTTCGATCGATAATTCCTCTGTAGTCAATAAAATCCTTCATTAAAATCTAAATTTAATCAATCCAAAATGTCAATAAAACAATCTTGAACTGCTCTTCAAATATAGCAGAGGAGATTTTTCATATTTTGTCAACTTTTGCAACACTAGCAACATTGTAGTTGAAATAGGAAACAATTAAAAATAAAAAAGTTAAAGTAATATCTCTAGAGAAGCAATCGATGGAAGAATTGATGGTGGATTTTCTTTTCTTTTTTTATGTTTGTGGGTTAGAAAAACAACACGCACCTGAAAAGAATCCATCAGTAGATCTATAAAGTATAATGGGAGAAATTATTTTGTGCAGAGTCGGGACGGGAAGAACTATTCAGACATATGAGTGTACGTATTATGTACAAATTTATATGCAGTATGTATCAAATTTTTATACATACTGTAGGTATATACTCACAGTCCGAACAGTTCTTCACGTCCGAATTCTGCACAGAATAATTTCTTCTACAAAGGCAAGGGAAACAGCAGCACATGCCCATTACATTATAGAAATCAAGAATTATTAGTTACATCCCACTCCATGCCCTATGCAGAAATAATGTATATTGATGTAAACTTTAATACTGAAGAGCATTGTACCATTAGAGAGAGAGAGAGAGAGAGAGAGAGAGAGAGCCTTAATTTGTGATAACCGAATAATCTCTCTTGGTTGTCTGTGCAATTATACAAAGAATCAATAAAATAAAATAAAAACTAATAAATCTCAAAAGCCTATGGAATTTTGAGTTTTGACAACATTATAATTTTGCAATATTTATATAGAAAATTTTAATTATTTGAACCTTAGGCTTCATTAAGGACAGCTTCATTATACTTTTATGTTTAGGTTTTTAAAAGCTCCTTTTTCAACTGAAGTTTTAAATATACTTTTCAAAAAATATATTTTTTAAAAGATAAAAGATCTACTTCAAATAATTTTCTGATTGATTTACATTTTAGATAGCAATCATTATTTCATTTAACTACTATTTTTTTTATATGTCACTATTTTTTTAAAAAAATTACGATATAAAACTGTATTTTACAATCAAAATAGCAAATTTATTAAACTAACAA